GAAACTTTCTACCTAACATTCTAGCGCTATTGCTTGCCCTATAAGATCCTCAACACTCGCGTGTGCAAACATTTTCATTTACATTGATGAAGGTCTTTGTTTAGACCGAAACGTCTGCTTTAGCAATTTGACCGTGCAATTTCGGAAAACAACGGAATTAATAAGGTGACTCCTAACAATATTTTTAGGACCTTACCTATTATTTTATCCAGCATATTGTAGCCTTTATCTGCACCTATGGATTTGATTTTTGGACCAGCTTTAGAACTAAGATGAAAGGAGGTAAACCAGTTGGCTATTTACAAGCAGGTCGAGAAACTGAATCTGAACTAATCAGGAATCGGGACAAATACAGTCTCAGCTAGTGGTCACAGCGGGACTCAAACCCGGCACCACGAGACCGACGCTATGGCTTAAAGATTCGGACAAACATTGCATTCTGTTTATCCGCTACGAGGATTATACGAACCGATTTTATTATTTTTACTTAAAGTTACAATAACAACCAATGTAAACTAAGATCAACTGCGATCGTCTGTGAAAATTATCTGCTGAAAGTAAACTTGTAAGTTTGTTTGTCCGAATTTTGCCTTTGTCTTCGTTTTTATGGCGTCACGGCTGCGCTGCGCTATTGAATCTATTTTCAAGAAAATCAATCTGTTTGATTGATCGCCTAAATATTCTGAGGCTTTGATTTTCTTTTGTTCAAAGTCAAGACGGCGCAAATGATAATCAGGACAAGAGAAATACCAACAAAACAATGTATAAAGAACCTTTGCTTATACTCTTGGCTTTGGTCAAATCCTGACTTCATCATCATTTACGCCGTCTTGACTTTAGCTTGCAGTTAATCATGGATTCGTTAACCGCTTGTCTAGAGCTGCTCTTGTTTTATAGATATGTGAAAAAACTAACTTCGACGAAATTAGTTTATTGTTGACAAGGTAATGTCGATCAAGCTAAGATTAAAATCGCCTAAAACTTTTATATTAGTTCTAAAGCTGGTCCAAAAATCAAATCCTTGGTTGCAGATAGAGGCTATCAAAAAGTAGGATAAAAATGATAGCCATGGACCGAAAAATACTGTAGGGATTCAACTTAAGGTCTAATAAAGTGTTTTAGCCTAATATCTATATCACGGAATTAATCACTTCGCTCTCACTGAAAACAGAGTTAATAAACTCTGCTGTAAATTTGTAAATTATTATTAGTTATATATATTTACAAGGATAGAAATGATGTTTTTTATAAAAGTTTTGAAATAAAACGTTTTGGACTGTGAAAGTCATCTTCAGTATGGTGTTATTTTGAATATATAACAGTTTGAAAAGTTCATGAAATCCCAGAAGGATGAAGGCTGGCAAAACATTGGCCCCTTGAACAGCCCAGCCTAAACAAACAAAACATCATTTATATCCTTGTAAATATATATTTTATCAAGAAGCAATATCATGACAATAACATTAGTTATGTATAGCTTTTTCTTATTTAGTTTCTATTTGTTGTATATAGTATAGGTGTACAAGGGCCCTTTTGATATCAATGGCATTTAACCACTGACTGGACTACCCTGAAGTTTTTTATCTTGGTTTAATAAAAGTATCTATCTATTCATCTATCTACCTATCTATCTATCTTTGACTCCGACGAAGGACTAGCGTCCGAAACGTCAGTAAGTTTTTTCATCTTTTCACGGTGTATAATTTACCTTTT